ATGCTTGCTCATATAAATTATTTAACACCCTGCCGCCGACGGGGCCTAATGTGTTCCAGCAATTTTTAAGCTTCTTGTGCGCTAATCACAAAGAAATGTGAGATGGATTTAGTTAACGAGGGAGTTGTTTTCTCGTTAACAAAAGAATGCATGCTTTACTGAGTTCATCAATTCAATAACTTCTCAAAGATAGATAGAAAGACGGATAGAAAGCTTTCACTGATTTTATTTTAACCCAAAAGCTATATTCTTATATGATTATGAGTTGAAACTATGCATATACTGTGAAAACTCTGTCCGCCCAAGAGGAGTGTCCGCTTAAGGGGATACTTAAATACTTTACACACCAATCGTATATTTTAGAGAAAGTGTCCGCCGAGGAGAGTGTCCGCATAAAGGAGGTGTCCATTAAGGGAGTTTTCACTGTACTATACATAACTTTTGAAATTTATTTTTCCTTTTTTCAGGTAATTTAATAACTTTTATTAAAAAGAGGAAATTAGGGCTGCAAAGGAATTTTAAAGATGGGATATCAGGTTAGAATTGTGCATTCAACTTTAGTTAAGAACTCACTTCATGCTCAGCTAAATCTACAAATGGGGCAAAGGCCCATTCATTCCATCAAGTACTATATAGAAATCTGCTTAATATATTTAGTCACTTTAATATGACTGATCATAGCTTGAAGGCTGGTATACAATTTTATGTATAAAGTGAAGGTAAAAGTTCCGCATTGAAAACTAGAACTCGTAAACACATAAAACACAACATTCTTCAGACAAGCAGGTAGAAGCAATATCATTTCGAATGGCTTTCCAAGTATGTAAAACCTGCATCTTCATTCATCTTTCGGTTCTCGAAAAACTGTAGTGTCACAAAAGGGTTAAAATAGTTCAGCAAGGCAGCATATAATTAAATGCTGAACACAGAGACTTTGTGGTGTGATTTATTTCTAATTAGTTTGCATAGATTTATGGCAATTCAATTGACTTACTTTGTTGTGTTGTTGGGGCTGGTGTTGTCGAAGCAGGAAGAATGTGCACGCAGGAAATGTGGCTGCGAAATAGTTTAGAGAGAAGCATTATAAAATTATGATTAATATGAAAGCAATTTAAAAACACACACACACACACCTATGTATATATAAATAAAGTCTTTGGCATGCGCGGCATGCAGAGCAATTTTAATTAGACATAAATACGCACAACAGCAACAGCAACAGTAACAGCAACAACAACAACAACGACGAGGCAGAAAGTGTTTAGCTTGTAATTACATAAAATAAGGAGCAGCAGCTCCCAATACCAACAACAACAACAACAACAGCCACAATAACAACGGCTTAGACGGCCTGCTATGTAACGGCGCCCGGCGGCTGTTAAGTTGATTCGATATTTATTTTTTCTTTTATGCAACACGCTCGACGAATTAACATGTTCAACAGCTAAAAGCCAACGCACAAGTCAGCCCCAGATGCTGTCATCAGACGCACACACTTGTTGCACCTCGCCTTGCTCTGATTTCTCAGCCAACGACAAAGGCAGCAACAACAACAACGCAGGCAACAGGCAGCAGGTGCCACAGCCATCGCCTGGCAACGCCCATTGCGTGTGGCATGGGCGCCTAGAAAAAAGTTCACGATAAGTTGCACGCCGATCTATGCTGTGGTCTGCCACTCGGCTCTCTCCCTCTCCCTGTGTTTGCTGTGGAAAGTGCGCCAAGCTGCCTCCAAGGCAGTGGCAGAGGCAACGCAAGGAACTAGTCAGTATGTCTGACTTGGTAGTACGGGTATGCGGTGCGTGTGTTTGGTTTCTAAATGTTGAGCTTGTTTTGCATGAGAATAAGCCAAGCTAAACATTGCTAAGCCGACTGGTTGGCTCGAAACTGTGTTCACACTGGCAAATATTGCCTTAAAATATTTGTCTCCCTGTTGTTTAATACTTTTTAGAAAGGAAGAATATTAACGGCGAGGAAAATAAAATGTTTGGGTAAATAAATCACGCTACAGAGACGAGCTTAAACGATGGTTGTAGGAATATAGGAATGTAAATATCGAAAAAGAAATAAAACTATAGGGGAGTCCTTGGAATATTTAATAATAATTGTTTAATACTTTATAGAAGATAAAATATTAATGGCGAGGAAAATAAAACAAAGTTTATTTGCCTGTTGATTTATCAGATTGTTGAAACTTTTTAAGATAAAAGCTTATATCACCCTACAGTAAGGAGGATAAAGCGATGATTGTAGGAATATAGGAATGTAAATATCGAAAAAGAAATAAAACAATAGTTGAGTCCTTGGAATATCTTCCTAAAAATTCATATCTGGGATAATTGATAATTGTTTAATACTTTATAGAAGACAAAATATTAATGGCGAGGAAAATAAAACAAAGTTCATTTGGCTGTTGATTTATCAGATTGTTGAAACTTTTTAAGATAAAGCTTATAAAATGTTCGGGTAAATAAATCACGCTACAGTAAGGAGGATAAGTCGATGATTGTAAATATTAAAAAGGGAAATAATAGTATCGTAAAAGTAGCGAAGTAGGAAGAAACATAAAAACATGGCGAGTTTCTTGATGAAGTCTTTAAAAATTGTTTAACGAAAAAACTATTTTATTTTCTACATACGATTAACGGTATTGAATAGTAACTTTTTCTACTAACTAAAGCTATTTTGTAATATTTTGAAGATTTTACTTGCATATATATTTTTTTAAGTTCTCCCCAAACTTTTTAATAAAACTCTATATTGACAAAATCTACGCATGGAAGAGCTGGGCTCAGTCCAGATTTCTTTTTTTCAAACTCTATAAGTGTATTAACAGTTCAAAATTGTCCAAAATGCTTTTATTTTCTCAAATTTGTTTACATGTCAAACATTCTAATATATGCTGTGCAATAAATACAAATACTAACAACGACTCCAACTCGATGGGGATTATTAATACGCCGACAGGTCTGCTAGGCTCCTACTCGCACCTTAAGTCACGAACATGTCCAACTGGAAAAGGTTAGTTAGACAGTTTAGCTCGAAAAGAGAGCAACATTGAAAGAATATCCTGGAATGGTAAGAACTGGGCGGTCGAACTTCGTGTAGATTACAAAAGGGGGGCTTTATAAGTAACTTGCCAAAGCCATAAAGTATATAGTAAATATCCAATAAGAACTCAAGTAATAACTTCAAAGAGGACATTAAATACCAATAATCTATGTTTCCTGAAATGAGTTCTCTAAACATATACTTAAATATGAATTAAGTCAATGTTATTCAAGTTTTAAACATACTCGAAGAAATTGGTGCGTAATTCAACCAACATTTCTTCATGCCATAAAATTAGTTAAAGTTAATTATAATGGTAAGATCCCTCACTCTGAAACTGTTATGCGCTATCATAAAATTTTAAAAAATTGCTGCCACGTTGCTGAGCTGCCCCGTCCGTGAGGGAAGAGAAGACGAACAAGAAGCGCTGCCGCTCCACGACTTGTGCCACATAAATGTCTTCATTGCGTATGAGTGATGATGCAGCGTGCAGCGTGGTGTATGTGTGTGTGTGTGTGTGGAAGGCTGGCAGGCTGAAGCTGAAGCTGAGGCTACGGCTGAGGCTGGCTTGGTGGCAACTGCCGCACGCACGTTGTTGACGCATTTGGGTGTTGATTTTTAATTTATGCGCTTTTAATGTGCGAGAAAACATGCATTTAAAGTGAATTTATTATTAATAAAAATGCAATATTAATTAAAATGGACAAGTGTACGCACATGTTCGTGATACGAAGACACCAACAGTTAAATGTCTTGACATTTCCATAAGTGCGTCGCTTTGACAAACTGATAATAGATTGGGGCGTGGCAGAATATAAACACGCACAGCACTCCGATTGAATAGATACACTCGTATACGAATTTTTATATATATATGTACGAGTATGTATAAGCGTTATGTGCAGAAATTTGTCGCTACTTTTTAGCAAGGTTTGGTAATATTTCTCAATGCTGTCGCTGGTCTGCCCACATGCCTGCACTCACATCCTCCGACGACGTGCCTTGCAACACTTTTGCAGCAAGGCAAGGCGGTGTTTGGCGCACGCATGCGCGGCATTTTAATGTGTAAAGTGCAGCAACAACAACAACGAGAACGTCAACGACAACGGCACGCAGCACGCCCACTTTTTGTTTTTGCTCGCACTTAGGCAAGTGCTTGAAGCCGTTACTTGCGAACTGAATTAAATGGGGGGCTTGGGCTCTCGGGCTGGGCGCTTTAGATTTTTGTTTTTATGTGACACACAGAAACACTTTGAGATTTATTATTGTATAATACGCGTACGCAGTTTTATTTATTGCCAGTGCACTAAACTTAAAATCAATTGAAAAGCTATAAAAACGCTCGTTTATTTATTTGTATTTCAACATTTGCGCTAAATTGCCAAAATGGTTGGACATGGGTTTGGTCCGTGCGCGCATTAATTTGAGCTGCCAGGTCTGCTGAAGGAGCATGGGTGGGAGTTGGTTGGAGGGTGATGAGGTGGGCATTGAATAGGCAAGTGTTTAATTCAGGCAGTATTCAAATGTGCTTAATAAAAATATTATTTAACTTAAATTATTTCTCTTAGGGTTCCCTGCCGAAACTACTTCGTCAGAAACAGGCCCAATTAGTATTTAGACTTTCAAGTTCACTTTAAGATATAAATTAAACTAAACTTTAGAAACTCAACAAAATAATAGGTACTTGTAGTAGAGAATTTTTAGAACTTTTAATGAGTTTTGATTGAAAGAGGTGTTCGTTCAATTAAAACCAATCTGCAGCAAGAACAATCTGAATACTTGTGCTAATTGTTGTAGTTTAAAATCCGCCCCGCTGTTCTGCAGCGCCCAGAATGTGATTTTTCGCATTTAGCTGTTTTTTTTGAACCAAGTTTTGAAATGTCAGTCATTTGTGTTCTTGGGCAGTCGTTCATTACTGTGCGTATGAAATCGTGATAGATAAAGACGCTTACGAAAACATCAGGATAGCCGAGAGCGCAGGCCATCACATAGCTGGCAATGCCCACCAATTTTCCATTGTGTGTCAGCGGACTCCCGGAATCGCCAACACACGCTCCGTGAGCGAATGAATTGAAAGCGCATAAGGCATCCTCGTCCACAGGTTCATCGCCTTCTTTGGACACCCACTTTTTGTTGCATTCTACGCGAGGCCAATATTTAAATGTCATCGCCTGCTTTATGGTGGGGTATTCCATATCCGGATACTCTTCATTGTCCGTTTTCTCATATTTGGTGGCTCCCCATCCTGTTAGTCGTAGCTCTGCGTCCCGCTCGAGCTCTTGTGTTTCGAGTTGAATAATTGCGACTTTCTCATTGAAACTTATAGGTTTCTTTGTCCTTATCATTCCAATATCGTAATTCATTTTGTCGTCTAGGTAGCGGCAGTGCTGAAACATCTCCTCTACTTCATACCTGAACGCTTCAATGGGCTTCATAAGGTCATAGACACCCGTCAGAACGGTGATGCCCTCCATAATACAATGTGCCGCAGTAACCACCCAAGTCGGAGCTAAAATAGCTCCGCCACACATATGATTTTTATCGTACTGCAAAGACACTTGGTACGGCGACTCGTTCGGATCTGCCGCAGTGCCGCCAATAATACGTTCGAGTTCGTGACGTCCATGAACTTTCTTTCGACCAGCAGCCCTGGCATGTCCATTCCGGTGTCGACACTCCGACGACTGCAGTTGCAGGAGGAGCATCAGAATCAGCAGTACGTAGTTGTAATATTTGATCATTTTTATCTCCAGCGTACTGGGACACTGAGCTCTGGCATTTCAGTCAGCTGTTAATGCGTGTTAATTGATTGGCTCTGCCTGAGAGCCTGACAATTTTAATACTTGTGCCAACACTTTGGGCCATTAGTGCTCTTTAAAAGAGTATTGAAGTTCCTCTTAAAATATATCAATAGAGAATTTTGAATAAGGCAAGCTCGACGATGAAACACCCTGCAAATCAAACACTTCCGAGTAGAAGTAAAAAAAAGAGTAAGAGTAGAGTAGAGTAAATCTGTTTGGCTTATAACTTTTCTCGTACTTAGGTCAAATATAAATTAAAGTGCAAATTGTACGTTACAAAAAGTACTTGAGAACTTTAGAAAGACATATGGAAAGCAGACTTCAGTTAGATTCAGTTAGATTAGCATGCATTTAATGTCATTATTTTGTATAGTTTTTGAAATAATATACTTTCGGAGAACCTTACAAATGGATGGGCATGGCTAGAACGACTTTACACCGCATATATATATTCTTTACACGCCTCATTTTCCCTTTGGGTACAGGGTATAAATAGATCGCACTTATCCGCTTTGGAATCTGTATAAGAAATTCGGCCCAAAAGAAATAAAAAGAGAAACTGTTTAGGAGGGTCTCTTGGTTAGAGACCAAGTTATTCAAAGGAAGCTTGATTGTACCTTGACCAGCTTATTAAATGCAAATTCTGCGCACAATAAAACCAAGCCTTGGTTTTGCAAAGTCTGTTGTCTAGATTTGCCATTTAACCATAATTCAAACAAATAATAATTTCAAATCACTTTAGAGTGGAAATGACACGCGCAAGCGTAAGTTCTTTGCAGTCAATGGATTTGTTTACTACTCTTTATTGGCATAGATTTGAATAATGAGAAGATGGAAAAGTGTCAACACTTTTGAAAACAAAACGTTTTTATGCGCCACCTATTATAAATGTATATTATATATCGTAAAAGTTTTAAATCAGCCGAAACTGTTGTGTTTTAGATCACTAAGAGGCCGCGAGCCACTTTGGTGCGCCACCCAAGCGAACGGTTGAGTCGAAGTGTAAAAACATTATTGTTGATATCACAACAAGCCCCGTCATATTTCCAACATAAAACCCATTCACTTTTTGTTGTGATGTATTGTGATGATTTCATAAATCCACACGTGCGACTATAAATAGATAAAGACAAATGTTTTTAACGCATCTTTACAGCTTCCATTGAGCAGAGGCATAAAACGAATGCAATTAACGCGACCGCACGCACAATGACATAAACCAACAGCGTTTTGTTTATGTTGTTTTATACGCTAATGCCGTCCCATAAATATTAACTGACGGGCCTATGACGAATGCCTCAATATACTCGCACGAGTCGGTACACAAGTCTGTCTAAAGCTATGGTTGGGTCAGATGTTGGGTCTATTGATTGATTTGCATGCGCACTGTGATTGACAAGCAGTGTCGAGCTGCGTGCGGCGATTTCACATTTCAGCGGCAACAAGTGGCTTAATTTATGCTAATGCCCGACTATTTCGATGCTGTATATTTATAGAGAGTGCTTGGTGGCAAGAGAGAAAGAGAAGGAGAGAGTAAGCCATCTCGATGGGGTGTCTATCTTTAATTTGGACTCACTTGTAAGGCACGGAATGTTTTTCCAAACTATGCTCTGCATGACAATAAGCGGGTCGCGCAAAACATTTTGCATTTGAATGACCGACCGACCCATCGACCGAACGCCCGCCCAGCATTGTTCATACAAAGAATCTCACGGCAACGCAATTAGACCACTCGAAGAGATACATTGACTCACTACGACTCCGACTCTGAGTGACTGGCTAGCTGGCTGGCTGGCTGGCTGGTTGACATTTTGGGCGGGCATGTTTAGCTTTATTATGTTGAACGGCGCATATTTGCATAAACGTTCCGAGCAGCAACACCTATGAATGAGCAAGACGACGACGCATGAATGGAAACGCCGCCCCACACACTTACTCAGGGCACTAACAATAACAATAACAATAGCAAAAGCAAAAGCAACACCAACACATGAGACTCCCTGTGTGGGTATCTCGTGTGATTTATGCCTGGGAGCCTGCGCGGCTGCTCTGTTCAGTTCACTAAAAGTTTTCCAAATTTATTAAAGTGGGAAAATTTTTTGGACAAATGCAGAGCAACATTTCCAATGTTGTACGACTAGTAAATAGCAACAATAACGAGTCGGACATAATTAAATTAGGCCTAATACAATTTGTAGTGTGGCCGATAACATTTTGCTTTAAATATTTATGCCAGACTTTGTCATGCAAATGTTCGATCAATAAAACATATAGCATATTTGTTAGACGCGCTTCACCCGAAATGGTTGATGTTGTAATGCAAATGGCCTCTAATTTAATGATAGTTTTCGATATCAAAACTAAGATATTTGGAAGTGACGAACAAGAGCAACAGTTTTGAGCAAAGTCGAACAATCATGGCAAAAGCTGGAACAGTTTTGTTGAATGGAATATGCAATAAATTATACTATAATTATTATAGTGTTATATATACCTTCATTTCATATGTCAAAAATCGAAACTAGTGTTGTTAGAGACTACCAAAAAAACTTTTTTTAAATTCACAAAAAAAATTTATTTTTTTTAAATTTTATTAAATTTTATTATTAAAAATGTTCGTCTTGACTCACTGATTAAGGACATATATAAATCTTGTCTTTAATCCTTAAATTTATAAATCATGGTGAAAATACATAGATAATCCTTAAAAAAGGATGTCAGTAAATTCCTCGCTTTCCAAAAGTTACTATAAGTGAATGATTTTTTCGTTTAAAAAAAAAAAAACAAAATAATCATTATTTACGGTCCCTGAAAAAAGGCCTCTTTATTGATGGATTGTTAAGTTGAATTAGAAAGAGTTTCTTCATTCTCATATTTATTTTATTTGTTCATTTAATTTAATTCATCGACAATCAGAGCTTATGAGCTGTGAGAAAAAAACCAAAAAAATACATAATTTTTCCTGGTTGAAACTAAAGAAAAACAAAGAATATTGAAATAATAATAAAAAAAACATATCTATATATATATATATGTATATATTTTATTCAATACTAAAATCTGAAATCTCAATATGTTTTCATTTTGAGTTGGAAAAATCGTGTTTCATAAGCTTGTTCGGGTTAGCATTTAATGAAGTCTATTGCTGCTGATAATCTCGACCAAAGGCAGCTGTTGCAAAGAAGTTTCTTGATGTCAAAAATCAATGAGTTAGAAGGTAGACATACAACTTTATAGATATTTTAAAAATATTGGGATTGTCATCAATAAACAATTTGTGCTAAGCGGCTAACAAAAATATGCTTGTTTCAAATTATAATCTTTGTTCATTGCAGAGCATAATTTTGTAGCTCCTTATAAGAGTATTTCTATTTGAAAATTGTTAAGTATTGTAGATATTTTGAATTTTGAATGAGTATGTAGTTCCGACATTGGTTGGAAAATGCGGAAGAAGGCTTTGTCACGTGGCCAGTCAGCTAATTGCCAAAATACAAGGACGCAGACCCGAAATTAACGCTTAATAAAGTAATCAACGGTAAGTTGCAAATCAAATTGGCAGCAGCAGCAGCACCAGCAGCACTAAAATTAAACAAAATGCGCTAAATTAACTAATTTTCGTAACGAACAAAACAAAACGACATGAAATGAAATAAGACTAGGCGGCTGCAAAAGCAAAAGCAAAACAACGTGCCGAGAGTGGAGTGGGAAAATAAATTTGTGCACTAACAATGGCAACAAAACTGAATCGAGCTGGCTGGCTTACTTGGTTGACTGGCCAACTGACTGCCTGAATGGCTGAATGACTGAATGACTGCCCGCCTGCCTGCTCACAATGACTGCAGCAGCAGCACTTTGTGGGCTGGGGCTCCAGCTTGTAGTCTTTGACTATACGGGCGCAGTCGCAACAACATTTGTGTATGCCATAACTATTTATGAACAGTTAGTTAACTTAAATGCGAGGTGGCAATTAAATGGGCGTGGCTGTTCTTGCAGCAACAGCCACAAAGGTAAGAAACAAAAAAACATCACACAAGGCAGACAAAGCAGACAAACAAACCAAGGAACTTCGAGCCAAGTGCTGTGCCCGCTTTCGACCAAATCATAACCTTGCCACCCCACTGGAGATACAGAGAGAGAGAGAGAGAGAGAGAGAGGGAGAGAATCAATAAGATTCCAGAGCCTCGTAGTAGTCATATAATTAGCATTTGTCCAAGACTCGCCTTGGTACACACCCAGAGCCAATTTGTGGCACTGGTGGTTTTCTAATTTGCTCATAAATGGTATTGTATGATACGAGTACGTTTGCATGTACGAACCAACCTCTACATATATGTAGATAGTATTGTTTAGTTGCTGTTATTGTTGCCCGATCTTATGTTAATTTTGTTCCTGAAGTTGTGTTCTTTTTTAATTAAAACTGCCCAATTGATAAATTAAAGGCGAATTCAATTAAAATAGTTGTCTCTCGGGGCGCCAACTTGCCAAAATTGTTAACACAAACATTGAACTTCGTCTGTGGTGGGCTGTTGCTGCCAAAACATTGAATGAATCCATTAATTTGCGCCTGCGCCCCTAACTGCACTTGAAGTGCAAAGTTGAACAACAAACTGTATGTTGTTGTTTTACAAGCGTCTATATGGACATGACTCGCTTGTGCTCGTACTTGAAGTTACAGCTGCATTTTGTTCAATTCTGTAACTCTAACACTGATGCTGACGCTGACGCTGACGCTAACACTGACGCTGACTCTGGCAGTTTGTAGCTCGTACCTAATCTTGATCGCATTTTTTACGGCACATAAATATATGCCAAAACACTACAATGAAAATACATATTGTGCTTGCCATACGAAAATGTGGCAACAACAACAGCAGCAGCAGCGGCAGCGGCAGAGCAAAATATGAAAACGTTTTCAATGAAAATTAATGGGCAACGCCGAA